CCAGGGGGAAAAAGGTCATAAAATTGGGCACAACTCACTTAACAATCACCTTGCTTAGCAACAAAAATTCTGGTCCCAATTGTGGTTGTAAGTCAAGGACTACCTGCATTTAGCCAAGTCCTAATGGATCTTTTTAAATGTTCCATATATGCCATTATGAATCATATTCCATTGCTTTTGCTATACCAGTTTTAGCTTTGTGAGAGTTATATCTGGCTAATCAGCTTCAGAATTATCTTTATTTTCTTGGTAATTGGGTACAATTGCAAATCTGCAAATTCAGTAGTAGTTTAGAAGAATAGCTTTAAAAAATCAGTTTGGCACTGTAATAAAGTAGACACATGGATATTAATATGAAATTTATAGTAGTGCATTTACAGAATACTAAATCTATACAATAAGAATGAAAACCAAAAAAATCCCATATGTTTATCTTTTGTTTTTATTGTACAAATTTCATCTTGTGCTCTAGAATGAAGACAAATTAAGGGAGACTGAAACAAGAAACAATATGAGCAATGAATTGTTATCCGGCAATTAAATATAACAACTTTGAAGTGAAGAATCACAATGATAAAATGTAGCAGACAAGAATTCAATAGCTTTAGGTTCTATTCTTTATCAAGACCACATAAATAAAAACAATTAAAACTTTTTAACAAGAGATAGTTAAAAGTTACATTGCTCACCTTGTAATTAATCATTACTCATCATTAAATGTACTATGACCTAGAGTAATTGGCATATTAATAAAATATTGAGCCTGGATATGCCAATTACAGTAGATCATAGTTCATTTAATCATTAAATACTGAATAAATCATGGATGAGTCCATATACAATACTACTTTTATGGTTGTGGTTCATAAATCATAGACTGTTATGCTTTATGAACCACAGCCATAATAGTATGGGTGACATAAAACATTAAGCCAAAATCAATCAGTTTTGAAATAAAACAGAACATGCATTACTATAATAATGGCTTCAGAATCATTTTTAATTAATTGCTATTTCTTTCTGAGCCACTTTTTTCTCAACATCCACTTTTCTTATCTCTTAAGGAACTATTTTCAGGAATGTTTTATTGAAATGCATATAAATGACAGAAAATACTGTACAAAGCTAACAATAAGAAGTTAACTGGCACCTTACAAACCTATATTCTCATAATATACATATTTCCCTCAGAAATTCACTCCTCAAGATGCCTAGTAAAGGTCTTTTCCTGAATACTTTCCTTTTCTTACCATGAAAAGACTTCCTTAGAAAATCTCTATACAAGTCCAGGCTTTTGTGAGTTAGTTAAACTGAAAATGTACCAAGTCTTCCAATAATTTTAAAGGCCATTCATTCATTAGGATATCCAACTCAAACATAACATTATGGAATGATGACCATAAATCTCTATCAAAAATCACTTGTTAAAGAGAGTAAAATGTCTCTTTTTAGTAAAAAGAGTAAAAGTATGACAGCTTAAAGATCAGTTCAATAGCTATGAAAAATACATCTTTAAGTATTTTTAATACTTAAAGAAAAGAAAAAGAAGATTCACCCAAAAATATCTACCTGGTATATAGTAATGGTCAATTAAGAGTGACACAGCAAATGTCCTAATACTATAACTATGGCTTACTAACTATCTGCTTTAATTCATCTATGATTACTCCAGGGCAATCATTCCAGAAGGAAAAACAAGGTGGTGAAAACTAACATCAGACCTGCCCTTACACAAAAACAATTTTTAACTAGTATATACTTGGTATGTTTTTTTTAAACCTAGACTTTTAAAAACTATACCATCAGAGCACTCCAGTGGTACACCTAATAAAGTGAGGGTCCTGCATAATTTAAACCAGTGTTTTTTAATCTAATGCCCTATAGATTTATTATTTTCCCAGCATTCCACATGTGCCTTGGAAATTCTAGTTATATATTCCCAATTCTCCCAGAAAGTCCAAGATTTAGGAAACTGAGATAGAAGTGATGCAGCACTTTTTATGCCTCCCTCCTTCCAGAGACTGTTTTTAGTGGCTGTGCAGTACACAATAATACACAATTTTTTCCAAAATATCCTACTCCAGATAATAGAACATTTAATTGAACTAAATCAAAAGAGAGTAAAAAGATATTTACTATTAAAATTTGGCAAAATAGCTGATAACGAATCACTAATGAATCTGCAGATTCATGTTTGGATACAAGGAGGTCATTTAGCACCCTTAATAAAAGGGTTTCTTGTTTTCAGCAGCAATATTTATGGCATAAATCAGAGACATCTGCAATAGTACAATTACCTGCTTCTGCCACTAATAGGCTTAAATCCTTTCCTAACTAGAGATAATTTTGGTGCTTGGTCCACAAACTTGTTTTCTGGACAGGTTGTTTTCACAAGAATTTTAAAATGATTATGATATGGAGCTCAAGTTGACATATTTTGTTAAACAATGATAGTTTGCGTGTAGCTCACCATTTTGAATTCAGGTACCATGGCTTATAAAACCAGTCATGGTTTAGAGCTTAGGACATGTTGTGGTACAATTTATAGTTATTAAAAGCATGTTAACCAATTATGGTTTAAGGTATATATGAAGAAAGTAACATACATGCCAAACTTAGCCACAAACATACTACAGTAGTGTGGGTCACATATTGTGCTAATTATAAAGCACAGTCTATAAAGTACAAAAGGTAGCTTTGTACTAGTATATACTAAGCACGATCCAAAGTGTTTTCTTTGGATCTTGCTTAGTATTATAGTACAAAGCTACCTTTTGTACTTTACAGACTATGCTTTGTAACTAGCACAATATGTGACCCACACTAGTGTAGTATGTTTACAAACAATGGTTAATGTAAACCATAAATTGGCATTGTGCTATCCAGATATAGTGAAGGAAACATCAGTTTCTAACTAACAAAGAAAACAGCTCATGTAATAGACAATTTGAAAATTTGGAATAACAAGTCTCAGATTTGAACATAAAACTCAGACAATTGACCAAAGGGTGGATGGAGAGGGATTACCCAGAGTTTGTTGAAAAAGCCATAGTAGCCTGATTCAAACATAATTCTTGATAGTTGGGTTTAGCCATCATGTAATCAGAGCAAAGCATATTATGGCTTAATGTGATGTGTGAATGCAAACTAGAACACTCTTTCTGAATACTGTAACTTTTTCCACAGCCAATAGTTATATTATGTTACAGTGTATGTGTTTGTAATAATAGTGTGTATTAATATAAATATTAATTATAATTGAAGATTTCAAGGTCAGAGGCAGCCCTCTGTATTTTGAGACACTATCAATTAACAATTATTATTCTGCAGATTTTTCTTTTTGAACAATAACAAAAAATCCATTCCAGGTATTAGCAACCACTCCTTCATTTGTACTATGTAGCCTAGAGAGTATTCCAGTGCTCAGGGAGAAAGGTGAGTCAAGGACATAACTCGGTCAGAAGAAATTTTTAGATTTTAAAGGTACACCTTGAGCTTTAACAAGCCATAGACTGGCCTCCACACAGTTCTTTTTATACACCCTTTTCTTATCTCACTTTGGTTATAAATTAGTCAATCCTGGAATAAGCAGGATTTACACCTTCAACCAATTCTACCATTTTTCAAACATCGTGAAAATCGTGGCAATTTTCATTAGATTGTATTTTACAGTTTTAATGTAGTTGGGCTGCCTTAACACATCCAATAAATAAAAACAAACAATATTAGCCTGAAGAAAGATTTTTGCTAACTCGTTTCCCTTGCAAATATTATGAAGTACTATATTGATGGAATATAGAAAGTAGAACTCTATCAGCTAAAGGGAGAAACAATCATCACTTCACTAAGAGCAGCGCTTGAAGCTATAGTCCAACAACCTTGTACCCGATTAAGCCTACATAATAGATACTTTAGAAATTTCTAGGGCAATCTTTCTCAGTAGAATATCCTTGTACAATATCCTTGCAATTGGTTGGGGCAACTCCTCCCATGGATCACAGCCAGCATACTTGGTAATATAGACTGAGAATGCCAACACACCTAGAAAGCAATAAATTGGGGAAAGTAGACCTAATGTCAGGATTACTTGAGAGTCTAGTAAGTTCTGAGAAAAAATGCTGAAAGACATCCAGATAGGTTATCTTTCATAAAATTAAGTAACCGCTTGTCCAAACAGATTCAAGATTTTAGACCCAAAACACTATATAGACATTTGCAGCATATTGAGCACCAAATAGTTTAACACTGAGAAAATGAACTACATCTAGTATTCTCAAACTGCTAAGCAAAAGGCAAGATCAAGGTGTACAGGATGAATGACAATATGGAAGATTGGCAAGCCCATTATTATTGCCTCTACCTAAAGATTCTCAGTATAAAAATGCCTAGGAAATTATAGAGTTAACAGGAAAAAATGTCTAATTCCTTCTAACATAAAAACCAGAATAGTAGTGTTGTAGGCCAGAAATACAACACATGCACACGGTAAGATATAACTGCCTACAAACTGAGCTTCCTGGCCCCTTGCCCTTTAATCGGCTGAACTCTTATTACTTACCTATTTGTTTATTCAAAGCATTTGAGCAGCAGTAACCAGTTCACTGCATACAACGAGGTCCGTTCAATAAACTACATTCTTTTAACAGTCTCCTACAAAGCCCCCCCCCCCCGAATTAAAACACTCAAGGCTTTCTTTAATAGTTGCTCAGCTCTTTCTTCTCCCATCCAAAGGACGGAAGAGATAAAAGGAAGGAGAGTGGTTGACACTTCACTATTAATTAATATAACTATTTCAGAGATGGGAAGCAACTACGGGAGAACAGCTATCCATTCCTTAGAACGGATATACTGTATTATACACATTACACTATATAGGTACCTTGATCCTAAAGTGATACGAATTACATTTTTGCAAAAGCAAGATTACAGCATCTCAGCGAAATAAAATGTGCGTCACAAATGCCAGCAAGATAAGCCAAACATAATGTCTTTCCATCTACCTCGACTTCTCAACAGCGGCGGCCGCTCCCCAAACCTCTTAGCTGCGCGCACCTGTTGCTTCTGCTGCGGCAATAGGTACCTCCGGCGCCAAGTAAAGAAGCGAGATAACCACGCCCCCCCGGAATCTGAGCCGCCTATGCCCGACTTTGGCCCCGCCCCGTCATTTTCTAAGCCAGAACGCTTCTAATTCTTTAGCGCATGCTCGACCTGTTGCTCTCTCTCCCTCTCTCTCTCTCTCTCTCTGCGCGCGCGTGTGTCATTTCATAAAAGAAACCAACTAAAAGATACAGTATTCCAATTTTTTAATGAGGAGCAGCATAATTTAGCGAACGCTAATTTATCCTGAGAAATAAATGGTAGGAGAGGTTCTTGCTCAAATGAGCAATGGCTTTTCCAATATGCGCTACAATTTCTTTCTTTTCCCCTCATGCGATGCCACAGCACACGGAATTAAACCAGCCAACCACACCTTAGTCTACCGAACTCAGCCAATGTAGTTAGTTTATGGCTCAGTAGATGAGTGATTGAGTAAACCATGGATAAGTTAACCATAAACGAGCATGTGATAACAAGCACAGCTAGTAGATATTCTTCGAGATGATCTCAAATCTGCACTAAAAATGCAAACGATTCAACCTTTACATTTTCATAAGCACAGTTTTCCATGTAACCTATTGTCCATAAGTTGCAAACGAATATATTTTTACAGGACAATAAAAAAAAATGCTTATTAAAAGGGAGATTCTGAATACTGAATTTTACTATATGTGATTCTTGCTTTTCAATATTGGGAAGTCTAAAAAAGAATTTGCCTTTTAGAATTCACCATAGCGCAGTGTAAAGGATTACTTTTTGTCCATAAACAAAGTAGTGCAGTATTTACAGCAACCATTACTGCTATAATCAAGTCCTTCCACTTTGCTGGTCTTCTTCACACCCTTCCTATATTAAGAAAGGTCTTCACATCATGTTTCCAAAATATTATACTGCCAGTCTGAGCTTGATTATTTCTGCCTTGAGTGAGGATTGATTTGTTCTGATCCATTTTTTAATTTTAATCAGCTATCCAGGGTTTTTCAGAAATCTTCCCCAAGAACAAAAACTTTAAAAATTCTACAGTGTTTCTGTTCTGCTTCTTCAACTTTCAATTTTTGTTTTCATAGAGTGTTATAGGAAAGCTATTCCCTATATAATTTTGATTTTTGTATAGACAACTGTGGAAACTGAATACTGTATCTCTTCCAAGGCTTTCACTGCCATTATTCCAGATGTGGTCTGTATCTATGGTCTGTGTCTATGTCTATGGTCTATTCTTGACTGCCAGTTTTTTTTAAAAATTTTTTACTGTTGATAGTGAATCCTAAAGGCAAAAAACTACCCATCAGTATTTTCATTGTCAGCTCTAAAGCTGGTTTCTGTGCTTGTTGTTATTTTCAGAGTAGTGTCATCACGTAGCATAGGTTATTGATGTTTGTTCCTTCAGTTTTAAGATCACACTCATCTTCTTCCCATTCAACTCCTTGTTTTGTTGTTTATATATATAATGCTTTGTTTATATATAATAAGGAAGACTAGAAAGCCTTGTCTCATTCCTTTGCCAATTCGGAGCCAGTCTGTTTTGCTGTTTTGTCTGCACTATGATTTCCTGAACTGTGTACAGGTTTTGCATGAGGCCAATGAAATGTTCTAGGATTCTTATTTTTCCAAGTGCAGTTTTGAATATAACTGATACAATCAAAGATCCTCCTGTAATCAGTGAAGCACATGCTGACTTCTTTTTGACATTTTTTGGCTTTCTCAATTATCCAGTAGGCATCAACAATAATATATATTGTTCCCCAACTCTTTCTAAGACACCTTGAACATGTGGCATCTCTCTTTTTATGTAGGGTTTTAATCTTCTAGGGATAATGTGGTATGTAAAATTAAGAGTATTGTATGACAGTTTATATAGTCTATCAAATGTCCTTTGATATTTGAACGTAGGCAATTATCTTCCAATCTTTTGGCCACTATGTTTTTCTCCAGATTTGCTGGTATAGATTGGCCAGAACATTTACTGATTTTTCTTCTGTTGTTTCTATTTTTCTGTAAATACTCCATCAGTTCCTCTAATCTTTAATTTATTAATAACCAGAGTGCTGATCTAACTTCATATTCTAAGACTAGAGGTTCTTCTGAGTTTTGTACATTTTCTAAGGCATTTCTGAAGGTTCTTGTGAACATAGAATATTTTCTATTTTGGAATTTGACATTCCTTCTGTAAAGAATTTCAGGGTACTACTTCCATTTTGTTTTTATTTTTATTTTTATTTTCTTTGAATCAGTTACTATCTTATACCAAATATACCAATGGAAAATTTCATTGGACTTCAGAAATCTTTTGGAAGAACATTTCCTGTTTCAATCTTTCATACCTTTAGCAATATCATTGCAGTGTTGTTTCTTGCTCTTCTGATAGCTCTTTAAAATTGTTTGTTAATTCTTGATATGTTTGTCTTTTTTTTTTTTTGCTTTGGTCTCTCTTTTCTTTGCAATTTTCACAATTTACTTTGACCTCTAGTTTGCTTTCTTTCTTCTGATTCTTGGTCACTGATAGTTTCTTTTCACACTCAACTTTAGCAACTGCTTTCATTTCATTCCATACTTCCTCTTGTTCCCTATCAATGAGTTTTAGGACTTCAAAGTGATCTCTGTTGATATTCTTGAAAAAAGGTAATTGAGGTGCCTGGATATAAACTCTGGTGGGTTTTAATAATATATATGTTAAAAAGCAATGGTGCTAGAATACAGTTTTATTTCACCCCCTTGATAGTCCAAATATAGTGGGAAAGTTCCCCTTCTGGTTACATCTTATTCCAGTTTTATCATATTGTTTACGAATCAGGAATAAGGATGGAGTAATGGTTAGCAAACGTAGTGTCAATTTGCTGGTTCTCTTGTGGTGCTGTCTCTGGATAATTGTTTAGAAGGGGCAACAATTGGCTTGGACAAATTGGTGATTGAGGGAGAAGACATTTCCTGCTGCCAGTTAAGGTGGCTAATCCTGAGTCTAGTGTAACTCCACAGGAGACATTTTGTAGGCAGATCAAATAAAGCCAGATTGGGGATCAGAATCAGAGTGTTGGCCACTCCTATGGAAAGAATTCAGTTGCAAGTTGCACAGAGGAATAACAAGTTGTAGATGAAGCAGCATTGGATTAATAGAACCAGGATCCATACAGGAGGAAGCCAGTGGGAGGGGGGCTGTGGTTTGACTAGTCTGATCTTTAGAGTTCAGTTGTATGCATTTATCACCTATGGAATGAACATCTGGAAGATTATAAAGGGATTGTGTCACATTGATATACTGTACTGTACTTGCCTGTCCCTCATTTCATTGAGCCATGATGGCGCAGGCTAATTCTGCTGACTGCCAACTGCCAGCAGTTCGGCAGTTCGAATCTCACCAGCTCAAGGTTGAGTCAACCTTCCATGCTTCTGAGGTTGGTAAAATAAGGACCCAGATTGTTGGGAGCAATATGCTGACTCTGTAAACCACTTAGAGAAAGTTGTAAAAGCACTATGAAGTGGTATATAAGTCTAAGTGCTTCCCTGTTTTCCCCAAAATAAGACATTCCCTGATAATAACCCCAATCTGGTTTTTGAGCGCATGGTAATAAAGTCAAGTGCTTATTTCAGGGTTCAAAAAAATATAAGACAGGGTCTTATTTTTGGGGAAACACAGTATTGCTATTTCTCTAAATGAGTTTTGGGCTGGAACCCTGGCATCCTATAATGATTAATAATTAATTAATTCACAATTAATCAACTATGATCAATCTAAATTTTTAGTTTTTTCTAACAAAAGACAAAAGACCAAGTGGACAATTGATTCCCATGAATTACAGAAAGTCGAATGTTTTAAATACTTGGGCATAGTATTTCAAGCATCTAGGAAATTAATAGCCTGGATAAATTGTGCCACATCCACTGCCAAAAAGAACACACAAGCAATAACTAAACTGCATGGGCAGCAGGGGGCAAATTACATTCCAGCAGCTATCAAACTGTTTACGGCTAAAACAGTTGCCCAACTATTACAGCATATGGCCTATATACGAACCTAAAGGGTTTATGAAGCCATTCAATCAAATTTCCTTAGGGCTTTGGTACCTCAAAATGCATACACCCCACTCAGTGCAGCCTTGAGGCTTAAGCTAAGGTGTGAAGTAGTAAGGCTCAGGCATGGACTAGGAATCTAATCTCAGGATTTAGGATTATGCTTGCACCTGTTGCCACTGCTGTTGTTAGACAGCTACCAATCTCACTGACACCATATCTATATGGATGAACTTTGTGTCTTGGCCTCTCTCCTGAATACAGGTAGTCCACAATTTTGGGCTCAGTTGTGGTCATAGGTGGACTACTTGTATTTAGGCCAATTAACGTGGGAGAAGGTCAAATCTATAGTAAAAGAGAGAATCGGGGACATTGATCATCAATATGGTATCTTCAGTGTCATGACTGAATTCTGAAGTGCCTGAATTCTATTGCCAAATGTTGGATAGCCTTAAGCCCTCTACTGTGGGATGTCCATACAATCTAACCTTAAGCAAATATAGATGGGCCTTTTCCAGAACCCAATTTGATGTCCTCCCATTTAGCTTTACTGGCAAGAAGATTTCATGGAACTGCTTATTTGCAGAGTCTTTGCCCTTGTGGATCCAGAGAGGCAGAAACTCTTAGTCACGTCCTAAGTTGGTGTCCTTTTTTATGATGTCCCAAGACATGCTCTGACCTCCCCAATCATTTCCAAATATGAGGGTCACACTGATAAATTTTATGTTTATTATTCTTTAAGGGATGCCCACATTACATACCAGGTTGCCAAGTATCTTTACCAAGTGATACAATTGTGCCAACTTTTAATTAGATATATCATTTTATAATCCTATTGTTCTGTCCCAATTGTTGTATTAAATTGTTTTTCTTTTTACTGTAAAAGCTAATCAAAGATTGTAATAAAGGCATTTTATTTCATACATCAAAGACTTTACAGTAATCAGTCTGGGTCATAAACACCATTTGTTCTCCAAAATATTCTTGGCCTTC